GTGCTTGAATCACTGTGCTTAATCCATAGGAAACGAATCTAAGTTCCAGTTTGTACAAAAACAATAAACCAAAAAGACAGTCTTGAATCCTTTTCTAATTTATCAAAGTATAATTAAAATTTTGTTGTCTGACTCATCCCTATTTACAGTCCAAAGACAATTTCTTTGGTGTATTGTTATACATTAAAACAGGATGATTGCTCTCCTAACACATATTCAGACAAACAAATGTGTAAGTGGTTTTGTAATGTGCCTAAAATAGTAGGTAATATTACATATCTTCCTGGGTTTCACTTTTTATTGGTAACTTTGAAAGCAAAATTTGAAAGTATTTATAAAATATAGAGGCCTGGCAATCCTGAATTAAATAGGGTGGCCAAGTTAATTAAATCGGTTTGCCCAGGACTGAGAGGTACTTAGGGGTTTTCGTTTTAAAAACAGGACAATCTCAAGAAATTTTATTATTAAAACCAGTTTAATCCCTGGCAAATTGTTACAAGTTAGTTACTCTAAATCAGGGTGAAATGGTGCTGATGCAAAGACAGTTTTGGGAAAAGGAACTTTAAAAAAAATCCTGTTTCTGCTCATTCAAGATTTTTCAAATTTTTCCTCTGTGTACCTTCCCAATCCCAGTGTCAGACAAGGTAATGCTAAGGACACTGTTAACTCTCTGGATCCAGAACGAGACAGCAGCAATACTCACAAGTCCTGCAGAAGGCGACAAAGGATAGGGGCTTGAGATCTACATCAGATGGTCTGGATTTGAATCCAGGCTTTGCCATTCATTAGGTGGGTGATGCTGTGCCTCTGTTTTCTCAGATATAAATAGAAATTACAATAATAATAATAATAATAATAATATCCGACCCTGTGCCTCTGTTTTCTCAGATATAAATAGAAATTACAATAATAATAATAATAATAATAATAATAATAATAATATCCGACCTGTAAGGTTGTATGAAGAATGCCTATCATGCATTAAGAGTTCAAGGGAAGTTAGTTATTTTTGCTGTGATCTTGATTATGATTAGCGACTTAGAGCAAGCCAGTATCTCTGCTAGTAATAGTAACCTTCATATTTAGAGTTTTAGGAGTACTCGTTAGTTTTAACAATATTCTGAAAGGGGTGTCTTCTATTACCTAAAAAGCTTAGCCATATTTTTGTTTGTTTTCTCTGTTCAAGATATACATGTGAAATGGCAGAAGAAATTTTGAAGCTTAGGACTCTTCCAGGAAATGTAGCATCAGTGGAATGGACAAGTGGATGATAAAATTATCACAGTACTTTTGAGGTTAATTATGTTTTTAGTGAAGGATGATAAATTCTACAGACTTTACTGTTCTAATAGCCAGTATTATAATAAAGCCACTTTATTGAATATTTTATTAAGTGATTCTGAGATTCCATTAAGAAAGGCATGGTAATATTTATTCTCAATCACGAGGGTTGGGTACAAAACTGAAGAGCATAATAAGCCACAGTGTGGTCTGTCTACAGTAGAACTTTGCTTCTGTTAGAGCTATGATAAAGGGAGACTGCTGAAAAGCAAGTTGTGAGTTGACTATGGAATTCTAGAGTATGAACTTAGTTCCTTCAAAATTGCATTGTTCTAAGAGCATCTAACATCAAAGTATCATCCCCAATAGGCAGTGTGGGAGAACTCAGTCCATGCCATTTCACTCCACTCCATTCCAGATTTATGGTAGACACTTCATAATGAGCAGAAAGTAGACTTGTGCCTGACCTTTTATCTTGTAATTTAGCCAATTAAGTTTACTATGAGACAAATAATAAAGATAATTTGTCCATTGAAATGTAATCACAGGATCTTGATTTTTCACATAAAATTTATTTCCAGCACTTACCAAGTACAGTGCAATAAGATGTTTATGAAAATATTGGACTCACTCAAAAGGTTGAGATAGACACCTGGTCCCTTAAGATCTAAAGAACCAGTCAAAAGCAGCATTGAAAAAACTTAAACTATTTATTCTGGCTATAAGAATAGAGGACAAAAGCCTAGAATTCTGAATTTCGCATATACAATTATAAAACATTTATTTTTTCATAATGTATGTTAACATAGCTGAATATATTCTATACACAAGGTAAAAGTCATACCTTTTCAGCTGTTTACTTTCTTTGTATTTGTTACAACAGATTTCTGACTCTCAATTATCAGATTCATCTTGGAACATATTTTATATCATGGGAATTTCATTTAAAATGAAAATGTAACATGGATACACCCTGTAGTTTCATGTAGATATGCTAATTTAAATAGTGAAAAGTATTTACATAATTCAGTGTCAGAAAACTCACTTTTGTTCAAAATTCCTGAATGTTTTTGGTTGAAGGCTATTTTTAATTGTTTTGGAATAAATGCTTAGTTTTTATTTTCCTTTGTACATGTAGATAGGCTTTCTATAAATAAGGAAGATTCTTCTCTACTTTGTGCTACTCAAAGGCATCAAGTAACCCCATTTAAGGCTCAAATGAACTCCAAAAACAAAACCCTGCTTAGCAGTTGTCTAATGATGTCCCCTATATGTTGCTTCTGATATATTTTAAAATATAAACTTTTGGCCTCATGAACCCCCATGATAGATCTATAGACAAAAGCCATTTGGTATCAAACATTTTCCCATGGAAGTGAAGAATTCCCACAGGTTAAATGAGATAAGAATTCGGCTTTTCGCCTGGGAAAAGTAAATTGTCATGGAGCTCATTTAGAATACAGTCAGTTATACAAAGCCACAGTACTTGTGCTTGGTTTACTTTTAATTAAAACAATGATAATTTCAGAACTATTATTTCCTGCTGACTGCTGTCAGTATTTGTAAGTTGTTCATGTTTTTTCATTACAAATGAAATGTTTGGGGGATTATCCCCTTTATATATTACATTCTGAAATAAATGCACTTCTGAAAATGTCCATGATAGAAGCAGAGAAATTAAGTGTTTTATGTCATCTGTACTAAGAGAATTAGATTATAGTCTGTGTGGAAAAATGTTTAGGATTGCACATCCTTTGTCATTTACACTTCTAATTGCAAACAAGTACACTTTAAATAAAATAGCTTGTTACTAACTCGCCAGTGGCTAGTCGATTGATTTTTTTTCCCTCTTTTTTAAGCTCGGATACAAAAAGTTGTGTATTCAAAAGCAAAACTGAGCAAGTTTTTTGAGACTGATACTTGTGTCCTTGGCTAAGTTTAGATTCCAGTTAGTAGTTCTGCATTGCAATTCAATTTTAGTTTATTATCTGTCTACTTTGTGTCAGTGTTAAGGAATGGCCAAATACTGCATTGAGGATTATAATACCGAGTGTCCAAGAATAGTGATTAAAAGGCTGCTAATAAAGATACTATAAAATTGAATGAGCTGGTGAAGATTTAGGTAAATATTAGGAATTTAGGTAAGAACTAGTCAAATATTTGAGGATTCTAAACATGTGTTGCCATGATGGGAGAATAGTCCTTGGACAGAAAGAATGCTAACTGGTTGTCATTTTAGGACAATATTGAGTGGGCAGAGGTGGAGGTAGCATGGGTAGAGGTGGCCTGGTGCTTGGTGTCGTGTACAATTTACTGCAGCCGATTTAGTCTCCCCATTCTCTTCATGATCTTCCTTCTTCTTCCAAGTTTGTGTCAGGATTTCTAACTGGCCACTCAAGTGGAAAGATACACGCCTAACAGCTTGGTTTTCAGGGATGGTTTTAAAGGTATGGTTCAATTTCAGGATGAACTTTTTGGAGCTCAGGAATTATTTCTAACCCCCACCCTCTCCCCTGCAAAATCCAGCAAATGGAAGAAGCCAGGCCCATCAATAAACTCTTCCGCAGTCACTAGCTCAAGTGGAAGGAATAATGGGGAAGCCGAACAGCCTTCTAGGGCTCAAATCCGTTTTGGCTCTGGCCCTACAAAGAGTTTATTGAACTGAGTTTGGAAGGGGCAGAAAGCGGAGCACGGAGCAGGAGTAGGCAGAGAGTAACAACGCTTAGAGGGGAAAATCGGAACCCCCAGCCCTACCTCTCCACTCCAAAGGCACCTGGCAGTAAGGGGCACTCCCTCCCGGGCACGAGCTCGCTCTCATCTCCTGAAAGGCAAGTTTCTTTTCAAGCGTTAGCCACCTGTGTGAGGCGCTCCCCGTGGGAAAGGTGGCGTGGGAGAAGCGACAGCTCGGTCTCTTTGCTCGGGAGCTTTTCTTGGTCAGGCTGGTGGTGAGCGTTAGCCACCTGTGTGAGGCGCTCCCCGTGGGAAAGGTGGCGTGGGAGAAGCGACAGCTTGGTCTCTTTGCTCGGGAGCTTTTCTTGGTCAGGCTGGTGGTTACAATCCCTCCAGAGGGCAGCGCTTTTGGGATGCAGTGTCCGCTCTGCCCTCCTACGTCGCCGGGATCTTAGCGCAATAGCCTCAAGACTGGGATGCTCCGCAGCCGGCTGCTGACGCCTCCCCAGTTAGCCCGGGGTCCTCCCTGCCCTCTCCCTTCCACCTCCCCGCCCCCAAAGTAGTGCTCCCGCCTGGCTCCGCCTGCACACCCCCCAGCGCGCCCCAGAGGTTTATCAGGCTCCCCACACACATCGCCGGCTTCCTTTGGCGCCCGGAGCGAGTGACCCGGACAGACTAGCCGCTGCCTCGGAGCCCCCCATCCACGTCCCCTCCTCCCGTTCGCCCGCCACCGCGCCGCCCGGCTCTTCTCCCCCGCGCCGCGGCGCCCAGCGCGTTTCAGGTTTAATCCCGGGTTGGACCTGCTGCTTTGCTCATCCCCACTCTCAGCCTCTCTCAGGAAGCTCGGAGAAGTGGAATCTGCACGCTGAAACTCTCGGTGGCTGGAGCCGGCAGACTGGGCATGCTCAGAAGCCAGGGCTGGCTCTGGTCTCCACTAGGAAGCTTTTGCACTCGGGAGGCAGCGGCGACTTTGGGGAAAGTTGATCGGAGAGGGGAGGAAGCCCCAAGACGAGGAGCAGCGGCAGGAAGGAGCCCCCGGCAGCCCGGAGGAGCATGGGCACCCTGCGGGATTTACAGTACGCGCTCCAGGAGAAGATCGAGGAGCTGAGGCAGCGGGATGCTCTCATCGATGAGCTGGAGCTGGAGTTGGATCAGAAGGACGAACTGATCCAGAAGCTGCAGAACGAGCTGGACAAGTACCGCTCGGTGATCCGACCAGCCACCCAGCAGGCGCAGAAGCAGAGCGCGAGCACCTTGCAGGGCGAGCCGCGCACCAAGCGGCAGGCGATCTCCGCCGAGCCCACCGCCTTCGACATCCAGGATCTCAGCCATGTGACCCTGCCCTTCTACCCCAAGAGCCCACAGTAAGCAGGGGTTACGCGCCGGGTCCAGGTGGCACCCTGGCGGGGAGCTGCGGGTCTCTGTATTGTCTGTCGGCCCCCGCCCCTCCCGCTTGCCATGTCTGTCCTCATCCTCAGAAATGTTTCATTTTAACGGGCACTTCTTGCGGGGCTGTGCACGTTTCTCAGAGCCAGACTCACTGCACATACGTTGCCTTCGTGTCTTTGTCAGATGTCAAGGTATTTTTTTTTTAATATACATATACATTCATATATGCCACCTAGTGTACATAGAGTTTGAACGCGCCCCAAGTGTATGTGACCGTGTGTGTGAGTGACTGACTGTGAGAGGAGGAATAAAAAGCCCCCGTCTCCCCAAAGCCCTGGCAAACCTGCCCAGCTGGAGAATCCTAAACGCAGGCTCATCAGACTTGAAATGAAATGCGTCTGATATCACCCTTACTTTCTATGCTTTTTTGGCTCTCCCGGATTTCTCCATATGCTGGCTGGCGCTTCACGCTGGTGCCCCTCAAACCTGATGTTCTGTCATCATCAAAGTGTAAAAAATGAGCAAATACGCATATAAAAAGGAAGAATTTTTGATTTCCTGAATTGGATATTTACAATTCATAAATGGAAGACTAGTCTGTGGGTTTTAAAAAAAAATATTTTTCATAACATCCGAGAGAGAAGATTGCTTATTTTCCTTAAGGAATTTGCATAATGTTACTAATCAGCAGCTTTATCTCCCAAGAGGGTGGCATGTTTCCAGGGTCAAATATAGATATGTACACTTTCCTTTTTTACAACGTGGACACATTGTTTGCCTTACCCCTTCCTGGCTTCTAATGCAACACTCTGGTATTGTTCTAGCATTTAAAGAACTGTGTAGTTCTCATGTCAGTGGTCTTCATAACTTGGATGGGAAAATTGAATGAAACTTGTTATACAACGCTCAACTCACAGTCCATTAGAGAGTAAAGTAGCAGGAACATAAGGTTAACAAAGAATGAGGGCAAGCACTTGAGTGAATGCTATTATAAATTAATAGATAAGACACAATTGATAAAACAAAAGATTTTGCCACTCTGCTTGTCACTACATAACACTGGATGATGTCTGTTACATAATAATACAAGATCCCTTGAATCTTTCATTTCATAAACACAGGAATTAATATAAGGAGAAAGAGTAAATACTTGATTATCTCCATTTATATTCATTGGATTTTTGAGTGGTCATGAGTATGTACTAATCACACTTTTGAAAACTTGAAGTTGTACTTTTATGTGGTGGTTCCCATGGAACATTTGCTGTTCCTCGTGCAGGTTTGGCATAAAGAGGAGTTTGTATTCTGCGAGGGAGTGGGACGGAGACAAAAGGACAAACATTTCTGAGATTCTGACCTTACCAAGTTGCCCTAATAGTTCAGCAGACTTAGACCTGCCTTAGAAACCTGAGTAATCTAAATCCATTTCAACTTTTTCTGGTAAATTAATTTGCAGTCCTGACATGCTTGCCTGTTTTAGCTAATGAGGTACATGACCATCTCTCCTGGGCCAAATTTTGCATAATGAAAAAATAACTCAAAGACAGGTCTCTGCATCTTTAAGCATTCCGTAGGATCTCATTTTAGTATGTGCAGGACTTTGGGGTAACAGAGCAAACTCCGCTTTTATAAAAAGACCATTTTTATAGGTTTTATAATGAAGCATGATCAAGCCACTGATAACTCCAGCTAAACATTGTATTAGAGAAGATCTAAAAGAATCTAGGCAGTATGGAATGAACTGTAGAATGTGGTTAAGTTTTAGAAGCCTCTTACGCTTGACATGTAGAATAACTAGATTTTAAAAAGAAGTCCATGGTGGAAAATGACAATAAATTAGTATTAGCAAATACTAGTAATTCACAATATCCCGTTGTAATAACCATTTTATCTATTGAACAAAGCTGTGCATTCTGATATTTATTTAATCACTAGTGTTTTAAAGAACTCAGCTAGTAAGGTATTGCCATGATGCTTCTGGTGATTCTGAAGAAATATATTGAAGAAAATGATAGAATGTCTCCCAGGCTTAAATAATTTTGGAAAAACATCTGTTCTTTTTCACACTTATATAAAGAAAACTAGGATAAAATTGGGTTGAGTGGTATAGTGCACCTTTCTTAGGTGAAAAAGAAGTATATTGTATGCAAAATGTTTATATCTTATGCCATTTGAATGAATGGCTGTACAAGAAAGCTCCACAAAGAATTAAGAAAACTTGCCAAACCGAAGAAGACTTGTTTGCGTTTCAATTTATTTCACTATGAATAATTTGATTATACAGATTTACTGGCAACAAGTGTTTAGTTTATGTCTTTGTATTTCATCTTTAGTGCAACTTAAACTTAGCCATTTTTCTTAAACTTACACATAGATTATGAGTTCAAGTTAAAATAAAACCATCTAAATGGACTAAAATTGATTTCACATTCACGTTCATGTTAGTTTTCAATTCTCTTTCCGTTAAATTTCCATTCTCTTTTCTAGTAACTGCCCAGCTCACATTCTGTTCAATTATGCAAATATGTTTGCCTAATTTTTGCTTACTGAGGTTGTCTTCTGAGGATTATAATTTTTAAAAAATTATATCAAGCATATGAGATCAGGTAGCTTGTTGGTTATGTATATAGGGTAGTTTTTAAGGACTTTTAAAGTAATTTTATTTCATGACATTGTATTCCTGAAAATTGACTCTATAATAGGTTAGAACATTAACTCTTTGATATTTTGATCTAAACCCTTTAACTATTGTAAATATTCCCACATCTTTCCCATTTTGATGTCACAGTGTTCCATGTGATTTCGGTTGGACTATGTAGACTTGCTTGAGTTCCTATCAAAAGTTGTTAGTGTCTCTGTATTTTTGTTAAACTGTTGGTTTCACCTCAGAGGTTGCTGACTTTCAGAGAATGACGACATGTTCTGTTATGTTTCACTTTTTGGTTGTAACCTACTTTGGAAGGGCTTAAGAAGAAATATTTTCTTATTTTTGAGGCATTAATTAAAAAAAAATCTTATATGAGCTTTTAAACCTTGACAGTATCTCAAGAGAAACAGAATCCTCCTAAGTGCTGTATGTTAAATTCTCTAGGAAATTGAGAGAATTCTATAATACCAGAGTAATTGTAGATGGCATACTATTAAAACAGATTTCTTCATAGGCGGGAATTAAATTCCAAGTGTGACCTAAATCTCAGTTTAATGTTTTTATGGGATGTCTGTCATGTGCAAAATATTGTAATGCGTTAGAGGTGAGAGAGACATAGGTCCTGCCATCAAGGAGAACAAGGGGTTAGCAATGCCAAACAAGTAGGTATTCTAGAAAGTAGAGTAAGGCAAGTCACAGAGGAGTTAGTTAAATTGGCAAAATAGGATTGAGTTTATTTAATGTTATGGTGTATGAAACTCTTGTGGAAGTGGAGGTATTTAAAGTGTTTGATTTAGGTGAGTGGTAATGATGTGAGAGGGGGTGTGGTGGGGTTGGGGGTGGGGGAGATACATTTCATGCCACCAGCAAAGAGACAAGGCAGCAAAAGAAAACAGGGCACATCTGGGGAATGGCAGCAACTAGTGGCTGTACTGGAGTGCCCTGGAGGGGATGAGGAAAAGCGAGTTTAAGCCACTGAGAGTGAGAATTTCAGTTTCTCTGACTTTGTAAAGTAGGTGAGAGGGCATTCTGCCTGTTTTTAGAATGATCAAGAATCATTTGTGTGTGTGTGTGTGTGTGTGTGTGTGTGTTTTACACCGAAGACTGATTGTTACCTACTAGCAAAGCCTCGAATTACAGAATGTCAGTCCAACCCTCCACACCCCACTAGCACCTTCCTGGTAATACTCGTACCAACTAGGTAAGCGTATTTAATTTAAGCAAGCAGCAGATGATTAAAACTCTAAAAAAAAAAAAAGTTCCTTTTTCCATTCGCTTCAAAATGTTCCCATTGAAAATAATCTAATTTTATGCCACAGACTAGCACTGCAGATTCCTCACATAACTGGGCAAACTGGACATAGATGAGAATTGAACCTGAAGTTGGTTTTTGAAATTCATCTTTGCTGTTTTTGTGGAGGAGTTAAATTCCGACTTAATGTTACTGTAATAGAGTTTCCAAATTAAGTTTGATCATTAATTTGACATTACAGTCTATGCAGTAAAATTGAAATTGTGGAAGTCTTTATAAAAATATATGAAACCAGGTTGCTAAAACCCTATGAGGGTGTTTTGAAGCACAGGCAAGGTGTGTGCCCCTAAAGTAGGGCTTATAATGAAAATACTGACAAGCCCTTAAATAGAGTAGCCCTAGAGACTACCAGAGAATGTAAATGACCAGCTTCCTTGCTGTACTGGGCCACATTTCCAAGCTCCTGTTACTTGTTATTTCACTAAAGAGTTGAGTTTGGATTTCTAATGGATAAGGATAGAAGAAGGCAGAAGGATAGAAGATGTTTCTATTGTTGCTGCTTGCAGGTTATAAGGCATATGGACACATTTTTTTCTGTCTGCCTAGCAATGGAGGGTCTCCATGGTATCCTAGCAACCAGATTTGAACACCAGGCTGCTGCTCTTTCTGCCATCTCTACCATAGGTGCTGCTGCCTGTCCCAGGGACCTGGGCCTGTTGCTAGCGTTCCAAACCTTCCGACTTGAATCTTCCGAGCTCAAAGAACGCAAAAGACAATGTGATAAATAAGCACATGCTGAAAGCAGCATTTACCAGTATGCTCAACAGCTTATTATGCAATCACATCTGTGGCATTTTGAATCCTAATCTGAATTGTTGAGCTGGTGCTGTTTGCCACCCCTTCCGTGACAGCCCTGCTCTACTTCCTCACACCCAGCCTTCGGATACCCATCCTACTTTCCTCTCTCACCATCTTCTATAACGATAGAGAAAGAGATGTATGCCTCGGCATCTCTTTACATTTTATTTTCTGAGAGGTTAAATATGTGCAGCCTGTTTGAACTCTCTAAGTGTAAT